TTGAGGGCATAATGAATTGGTGAAGATGCAGGCACACTGGATTTTTTTGCCCCCTCGTGGCATGAATTTTGATTGGCATAACCATTTTGGAAACAGTTTTCAGTTCGCTATTTAAATTGAAGCATGTCTATTCAATGAACACATTCTGAAGAAATTATTTTGCATGTTCACACACAGGAAAGTTCATAGAAGCACTGCTAGTATGATTAGAAATTTGGGTAAACCTAAACAGCAGACAATAACAAAAGAACAAAGTATGAATTCATACAATGAAATGGCATGTATCAACAATAGACATTCACACTACTGGTAGGTAGTATATGGTAGATGTAATGTAAGGTAGGTTAGTCACTGTGTAAATCAGTACAGAGATATCTTAAGAAGTAAAAATACATATACTGTATGACCTAGTTATATTATTCCTTGGTATTCTCCTGAAGTATCCAAGTGAACCTGTCACATACATACTTGCACAACAAGTTTTTATTACTGCATTATTTACAACAGCATTTATTGAACCAACCCATATGCTCAATGACATAGAAACAATAAAGAAAATGAGGCATAGCACATGGTGTCACAGGAGACTGCAAAACCAATAACCAAGGAGAGGGTGCCCAGGACTGTAGAACTATTCTACATGGTGGCAGGACTGGGGGATGGGTCACCAATGATCCAGAGTAGGGTTCCAAGATGAGGTGGGATATGCCGTGTAGCTACAGAAGTTGAAAGTTGGCCATCCATAAGAGGGTGTTCACGTGTGGAGAGCCACACTACAGGGTAGTGTAGGTGGAGATTGGCTTGTAATGTGAAACATCAGAATACCCCAGCTTGCAGAGACAGATTATAGATAGACCTGAACAAAGTCAACCTACAAGGAAGCACAGATTTGAGGAACTCAGTGATTTGCCAGCCACAAAGTGCACAGGCATCATTTGGTGGGGCCACTGAGCCTGCTATTCTCTTCTACTTGGGCACAATGCTACAAAGGCTTGGGAGGATTCATATCAGGATAAACAAATAGGCCGAATAGATGTTTATTCAGGGAGAAATAACTTACAACCTAGACAGATGAACACCAGGAAATTCAACCCGATCCTCTCCTGTCCGAGTCACGCCAGCAAGAGAGAGCTTTTCCCGGCCCTCTCCGACCTCCTTCCCCAGGTCACTTCTGCCCATGGCTCCACCCCCAATGGGCGTGGTCAGTGCCACAGAAGGACTATCTCACTACAGATTCATGGCACTACAGTGAGGGAAAATTGAGGAACAAATGTCTTCTAAATCAGCTTGCACCCTTTGTGCATATGCCTGTGTTTGGGGTGTGTGTAACAGTTGTTGGCTTGTCTGTTTGTATATATGATTTGATTACTTTTCCCCCATTTTCCTTGGCAATGGTAACAGTCAATCCAAGGATTAATGGCTGGTCAAGGTGTGAGATCAAGAGATTGTCGAGTTTGCAACTTTAAGTAGAGCACCAGTACCACCCCCCCCAACCCTGTCAAGGCTCAAGAATATATAAAAAGCTAATAGGAGATAGAGGGTGTAAAAGCCAGATGATGGAGAGGAGGGCCATGAAAAGTTGTCCTGTGGGCATGACTTTGCCATGATACTCTTGAACTCATAACAGCTGTGGTTGCCTGCATGAGGTGCATACAAGGTCGAACATAGGGCCCCATCACACCCACTGAACTTAATGTCAGTCCAGCTGCCGAGGAAGAAGTCATCGTCTTTAGTGATACAGCCACTTGTTACTCAGACTTCAGGGATAGCCTCACACCTTGCCCACATGGGTGGCTCTGCTGAAACACAGTAAGGTTACAAAGCAAGGACAAAAAACAAAGCAAAAAGACATTAAAGTGGGGTGGGGTGTTTGAGAGGGTGTCTGTGGACATGGAAGGAAGATAAGAGAAGGTAGGGAGATGAGTATGACAAGAATGTATTATAAACATGTATGAAACTGTCGATGAACAAATTAAGAAGGGAAATAAAGAGGAATGAAATTATGTAATTTGTAGTAAAAATGAGGGCAAGGAAATTATAACGGAATTAAGTCAGCCTTACAAAGGCGAATACCATTCTTTTTCTTATCTGTGGTTCCTAGATTTTATATTGGTATATGAAATCATATATGGACCCATGACATGAGCATAGAAGAACTGTCTAAGTAAACATAGGATGAGGGGGAGTGAATCAGAGTAGGGTAGAGAAGAATGGGGTATTTGCTCAAAGAACATCATAGACTTATGTGAAAATGTGCCCCAGGTTAATAAAAAACAAAACAAAAAGAAACTCAGAACAAACAAAAACCTAAATAAAAGGAGGAGCAGTTACTCCCCCTGTATCTCTTCTCTCCAGAAGCTGGTGCAATAATCCCATGCTGATGTGCAAAGGCAAAGAGACAATCCCACCCACAAAACCCCATTTCCCTTTCTTGAGGGTTGTATGGCAGTCAGGATGGGGTCCCAGGCAGGGAAATGCTGGATCTCCTTATCTTCCTTTCATTGACATTTGATTTCCCTTCATGAGTTATGAGCACTGTAACCCCCCCCCTCTCTGGCTTAAATATAGCTGAGGACCTTGAGGTAAAAGTTCCCTTGAATTATCATCTGAGCTGTATTTTAATTTTACGCACTTCCCTATTTGGCTTTTTGCTTAGTTTCCTAGTCACATGACAGATGAGAGCTCAAGAGGGCATGAGGGGGTGGCCAGCTCTCTCAGGGAAATCAGGACTCTTCAATCAGGGTGGGTTGGGACCATTGGCAACAGAGAATGAATTGCAGCACCAGAGAAAAGTTATGTTTTATTGAGAACACCTGGCTTAATACAGAGGCATACTCCATTAGTCTTTCAAGGGCAGAAATAACATTTTAAAAGTTAAGCATACATAGTGTCATATATAATAGAAGTTTACAATCCATTTGGAAAGATAGGACAAAATTGAAGATTTCCACAGAATGAAAGAGGACATGTGGGTTTCCTTCCAACCTGTGGCACAGCTGTGTGGACTCACACCCCGAACTCCCTCCATTAAATATCAGCCATTTCCCCGCCTTTCAAGCCCCTGTTCTCCAATGTTGAAGCTCTGTGTCCTGTTTGTGGTGTCTTCTCACATTGGTCCTTTGTGAAACTCCACTGAGGCTACAGGTATCCCTGCTGATGCCACAATAGCTGTCCTAGTTATAACTGCCATGTTTTCCCTTTCCAGGTGACATTAGCATGCATTCTAAACCCTTCAGGACAGAATGGTTAAACCATTCGGTTGTGTACAGTTCCAGGAACCAACAGGAGCTGTTCTTAGTTGTGGTGAACTAGTCAGTTTTTGAGAAAGGCTGTGTCTCTGGTTGGCCATGTCCCACATTTTTCCAGCTTAGCATATAAGTCCTTTCCTCTCTTTTGAGCATAAGTTTCTTCTATTTTGCTATCTCCTGCACATCTTTAACCCTTATAAATTATATTTTTGTACTCTGACTTTTTCTTTGGTTTCCTCAGATGTTCTTATATTATAGGGTTTGGAGACAGCAGGCAAGATGCTGTCCCTCCCAGAAGATCCTGGGAGGCTAGAGAAGGTCCTGAGTCCTTTTACTACTGACAGCTCTCTCCAGTTTAACAAGGACTTGCCACTGCAATCTATTGCCTATTGAGACTCTTCTTTAGCTATGATATTAATGAGTAAACTTGAAAGCTTGTTTCTTTTACTATTATTTAGAATGCCACATTTCAATATTGCATATCTATTAGTGCACACAGAATACAATTTTCGGTGATTTGATGTGCCTACCTTTAGGACTTGCTTATGAATAAAAATGAATTTTTTCTATCATATCCTTGGCTTGGGTTCTTAGCAACAACATATTTGAAATGTTTTAGTCTTGGTGTTTCCATACTAAAAAACATGATTCTCTCTCTCTTTCTCTCTCTCTCTCTCTTTCTCTCTGTCTCTCTCTCTATCTCTCTCTCATCTCTCTCCCTTCTTTCCTCTCCTTTCTTTCCCTCCATGATTCCTTCCCTTCTTCCATTCTTTTCCTGTGAAATACATGTTGAGGGGCATTACTCGTACATTTGGACACATGCACAAAAGTTTGGCCATACTTCTTCTAATACAGTAGGCACTATATATTCCTGAATAGGACTCATATGGGTTAAAATTTGATTTCATCAGTTGCAATTTTTGCTTTTAAAGCTTGAGGAAATTGAAGCAGGAAGAAATTTTGAGAATAAGTGGGATCCTGAGTGAGCCAAGAAGATTCATAGTGAAGATTCATCTATTCTTGGAAACTCAAAAGCTGGCTACATAGGAGATAGGCTACTTAGCTGAGGCAATTGATTTAGCACCTTTGTCTTACAAGAACACTGTAGTTTCCACACTGAGTCACTCTCCGTTGTGTTTAGGTAAGTGAGCCTCATGTGTTAAAGATTTGGTATTTGGTGTGCTTCTACCAGAAGGTGGCCTTAAAGAGGTGGAGTCTGATGGGAAATCTTAGTTCATTGAGGTTTTTGCCAGCAAAGAAGACTATTGGACACCCATCTTCTCTTCTTTACCATGGGTTTCTGGTTGTCATAAGCTGTTTTGCTTTCCTTGTGATATGCTGCCTCACTATAGGCACAACCAATAGCCAGGTACCATGAACCAAAATCTCTCTACTTATGAGCCAAAATAGATTTTTCCTCTTTCAAAGTTGATAGATTGCATTCATTTGCCACAGAAATAGGAATCTAACCAACACATTTAATTTGTTGGAGAATTGGTTGCCATGGTTTCTGGCTTGGAAAGGCCACCCAGGATAGTTTTGCCACGTACCTACAGAAGAACAAATATTTGCTTAACTCCAAATCCTCCCATTTGTATTGATATGTGTACTTTGTATACTGTCCTTTTTAGCTCACCATTTCATTTTTCTAGATATAGTGTAAAGGTTGCAGCTGCAGTAAGACTGTTCATTAGAAAGGCAACTATGCTAAACACTGGTCAATTTAATAGATTGTCTCCATCTATTAAAGAAAGGCTGCTAAGAAGTATCAGCTCTGATCAGACAGTCATGCCATTTGGTCCCTTTACAATATTCAAATTAGGGATCAAAAATTCTACCGAAACCTGTGGCAGGAGAGCATCTTTTTGAATGCATCCCTGAGCTCCGGGCTCCGAAAGGCATATATAAAGGGGTCAATGACAGCATTGCACATGATCAACATGCCATTGACCTGGAAGAGAGACATGTAGCAAACACAGTATGGGTTATTTGGGCAGAAGGTCATTAAGAGGACATGGAGGATAAATGGGGCCCAACAGAAGATGAAGACTCCAAGGAGGATAGTAAGTGTGATGGCACCTTTCATGTTGGCTCTAGGAAGAGTAGAGATCTTCCTAGCATGGGAGCGGGCAAGTAAGAACATATGAATGTAGAGACACAGGATGAAAACCAGCATCAAAGGGAAGAGTGATGTGAAGGTGAGCACTGTGGGGACGTGGTGGGAGAAGATCACCATGGCGATGCCGCTCCCTGTGCAGAATATCCAGATAACTGTTAGGGTGATGATGGTGCGGCGCATGGTCACAATGCTATGGTATTGCAGGGCATGGAAGATGGTGATGTAGCGGTCAGCAGCAATCACAGACAGGCTGAAGATAGAGCCCAGCAAAGAGAGGATGAACATGCAGTCAATGATGTCATCTGCTGTACTTTCAAAATTGCCACGAGGCTTGAGATAACCCCGGTTTCTGAACATGATGAGGATATTTTCCAAGATCTTATACAGACTGCCCAACATGTCAGAAATAGCCAAACTACAGATGAAAAAGTACATGGGGCACTGGAGGTTCTTATTCTTGGCCACAGCCAGGAGGACAATCAGGTTCTCCAGAACTCCAATGATGGAGATTGTGAAAAATATCTCTTCTGGCAAAACTACATCAGGGCAATCTGAATTGTTTCTTGCTGTGTCATTGATGTGTTCATATGGATTGATGATGTGCTTCATTCTTCCTGCTTGGGGTTAAGACAGGGATGATGCTTGGACGTGACCAGACAGAAATCTTGATTGGTTTTTTTCAGAATCTTTTCTTTGTGTGGGAAGGTCTGATGTTAAAGAAAACACATAAAAACACACATTGCAGGAAGACTGCAGAATAAAAACAAGCTGCGTTAGTCTTAAGAAAACTGTATTTCTTCCATGAACTATTATATGGTGGTAATTTAAATAAAATATTATACCAAGTAAGCCCTTGTATTAATAGACATATGAGTAATATCTGCAGTGGAATTTTGAACCCTGAAATGATGAAATCATCCTTCTCTCTCACTCCATTCCCCTTCACCCTAATGAATGTAGTTGTGTATGATAGATTAGAGTGAATGGCAGCAAACCCTTGGGTGAGAGAAGAATGAAAGGAAGGAGAGATATGTGGAGAAAGAAGAAAACACATTATCATCTTCAACTTAAAGGTCATGATGTAACCTTGTAGATCCTTTCTTTTTCATCCTTTTATCTTTCTTGGCTCCAGCCTAACAGAACAGTATATGGGATAACAATGAAAGGGTTAATGAGCCGTTCCAAAAATTGACCATAGAGTATATGTTATCACTTCAATTTCAAAAGTTCTTAGGACCTTGGTGGGATTAGTGGTGTGCCCCTGTAGTCCCAACTACTCAGGAAGCTAGATCAGGAAGATCACTTGAATTTAGGATTTCAACCCCAGCCTGAGCATCACAAAGAGAATGTCCCAAAGCAAAAGTAAGACCCAAAGGCAAAGAAACAGAAAACAAGCAAGGACCTCTCAGGGTGATTGGTGTCTCTGGAGATGCTTAGTAATTTTTATAATGCCTCTAGATATCCCCCAAAACTAGATTCTGTGTTTTTCAGGCTCCCTTGAATCTTTCCAATGACAGGTTCTAGGTAAAAATAGGAAAGAAATTAAAGACTTCCTAGAATTCAATGAAAATGAAGACACAACATACCCAAACTTTTAGGACACATTGAAAGCAGTGCTAAGAGGAAAGTTCATAGCACTAAGAGCCCACATGAAGAAACTGGAGAATAGTCACACTAGAGAATTAACAGCACACCTCTAGAACAAAAAGACGCAAACTCACCCAGGAGGAGCAGATACCAGGAAATAATAAAATTGAGGGCTGAAATCAATAAAGTAGAAACTAGGAAAACAATACAAAGAATCAATTAAATAGAGTTGGTTCTCTGAGAAAATCAACAAGATAGACAAACCTTTATCCAAACTAACCAAAAGTCAGAGAGGAAACACGCAAATTAACAAAATCAGAAAAAGAGGACATAACAACGCACACTGAGGAAATCCAGAGAATCATCAGGTCATACTTCAAAAACCTGTACTCCACAAAACTGGAAAATTTAAAGGAAATTAAAGTACAGATAAGCAACTTAAATAGACCTATAATACCTAATGAAGTAGAAGCAGTCATCAAAAGTCTCCCAACACCCCCCCCCCCAAAAAGGCCAGGGCCAGATGGTTTCAAGTGCAGAATTCTACATGAAATTCAACGAAGAGCTAATACCAATACTCCTCAAATTGTTCCACACAATAGAAGCAGAAGGGTCATTGCCAACTCTTTTTACGAGGCTACAAAGACACAATTAAAATTTTACAAATACATTTGATATCACTTTGATGTAGACTTTACATCAGAGATTGAGTTCAGAGAAGTTGTTAGTTGAACAGTGATTTAGGAAAGTGCATGAAGACACTTGGTCAAGGGGATCTGTAATAGCAGTTAAATAGAGAGCTGTGTTCTGGTGTTTTATTGTAAGGTAAGGTGACTATATATCAGTATTAATATTGTCAATAGTATATTTCAAAAGAGCCAGAAGAAAAGATTTTGAATGTTATATGTATATAGAGTTTTTTTTTTTTAATTTTCATCTCAATGGGCAGCTATGGTTGTGGATGCAAGCCGCAGCTTATAGATGCTGCTGGATCTATAAGAGGGCTTTGGTTGGTAGTGGGTTTTCTTGCTGGAGCCGAGTGTGTTGTGTCTTCAAATGCTATAGATTGAACTGGGTTTCTGGCTTTTCTCGATGGAAATGAGCCAGTGGTTGCTGAAGCATGGGCTTGTGCAGTCGGCACCATATCCAGAATGTCCTTAGGCCCTGTCAACCCTGGAGAAGATCTGGGGAGATACTAGAGGAGCTGGGCTGGGGGAGAGAGCTAACCTCTGATAGACCTGGACACAGAGGAGCACCAGTGGCAGGGGCATTGACAGGGACAGTTTTGCTGCACTGGCAGCTGGCTTCTTGTTTTCCCAACATTTCTAGGTGTCCTTGGAGATGCTCCTGAGAGTATCTAGCCTTCCAGCTCTTAAGCTATACTGAGATCTGGTACTCCTTCAAGTCAGTCCTTTGTTCCCGCTCCACACGTCGCTTATAAGTGGGAAACTTGCAGAACTGATTTATGCTTCCAGCTCACACCTTGTTCCTTGATGAACCTGGTGTCTTCATTCTGCTCCTTGCTTAGAACCTTGGGAGAACTTGAGGCTCTGAAGGGACTTGGGGAGCTAGAACTGGGAGACAAGGTAGATCTGAGGGACAAGGGTAAACGTGGAAACCTGGGTTCACTGGGGTTTCTGAAGGCAATTGTAGACCTTCAGGTAATGGGGGACTTTGGAGAATTTGGAGACAATAGGGAATTAGGGGGTCTGGAGGCATTTGGAGACCTGGAGGCACTGGAGGTCCTAAGAGCAATTGTGTATTTGGAAACATTGGGGTGGCTTCCTCCTCTGGAATATCTGGTAAATCAGCAGGCCTGCATCTTGATACACTCTGTTCAGGTGTTTGAGAATTCTGTCACAGAACCTGGCCTTGCCACCTCTGATCGTTGGGCCCTCCCTTCCCGCCTATTCTATAGCTTCCCCACCATGTAATCCTGCAACCAGTTTGGAATGTTCTTACCCCAAATAAATCATAAATATTTAAGTTGATACACATGCTAATTATTTAAGCTTGAACACTTAGTACAGTGTATTGCATGTATCAAATCATCGCGTTGTTTCCCATAAACATTTATACTTGCTATCTGTGCATAAAAACTATTATGAAGAAATGGAGAAAGTAACTTTAGAAACAACATAATAAATAAACTTGCAGCTTGCACAATTAAAAAATGTACAAATGATCCTCTTTGAAAGGCTGTTATTCTTCATGATTTCCTCTGTTTCTGGAATAAAATTTAATTTTTAAAGTAACTGGGATACAAGGCAAGATGTAGCCCAGTTAGTAAAGCCTTTGCCTATCATGCTCAAAGTGGTGATTTCCCTTCCTAGCTCTACCTAAACTGGGCTTGGCGACACACCCCTATAATCCTAGCAGTTGGAGATGGAGGTAGGAGGGTGTGAAGTTCAAGTCCACCCTCAGTTACACAGTGAGTTTGAGGCTAGCCTGGTGTCATGAAGTCTTTCTTAAAACAACATCATCAATGAACATTTGGAGATGGAACTAGGATAATCACAAATTTGATGCCAGTCTGGATAACATAGTGAGTGCAAGGATTACATTAAAACATGATATCTATGAAATATTCCAATGTTTTAATCAATAAAAGTCAAATATTGTATATCATTTTTAAAAGTATAAAAGCCTTTAAAAATATATCACTAAAAGTCTAGAGCACGAAGTCAACAGAAAGTGACAGATACAGGTCTATCATTCAACTACCTTCAAGACCTGAAACCCTGGTTGACTTGTGATTCAAGGTTCCTAAACAAATAATTAATGATGTGCTAGAAATGTACTTATGTTCATTTAATTATTTTTATAATAATGTAAAACTAAAACACTAGTGATTTGTAATCAATGATATATTAAATAAATTCTGCCAGATCTATAAGATAGATGTGGTTAAATCACAGTTCAGTGGTACAGAGAGTATGTGCAACACACACACACACACACACACACACATAGAGGGATCGAAAATATTAAAAACAGTTGCAACTGTACTAAACATGTAAACATATTTCCTTGTTACTATTTCCTAAACAGCATAATATAAAAACTACTGACATAGCTCTGTCATTGTATTAGATTTTAGAATTAATCCAGAGAAAATGTAAGACATATAGGAAGTTGTGTATAGATTAAAGAAAAATATTAGGTCATTACTTCAAGACTTGAACTTCTATGGATTTCAGCATCCATTCGAGGTCCTGGATCCTGTACCCTACTGATAGTGAAGAAGGCTGTAAATATCTATTTCATGCAAAATTCACAAAAAAATCCTAGAAGATGTATATTAAGTCTTAGTGGTGTGCTGGGAAATGTCCTTCTGTATATGTTTCTCTTATTGGTTGATGAATAAAATACTGATTGGCCAGTAGCCAGGCAGGAAATATAGGCAGAGCTATGAGATGAGGAGAATTCTCGGGAGAGGGATGGGAGAGAAGCCACTGGAGACATATCATAAAGCTGCTGAAAGAGTAACATACTGGAGCATTCTCCGGTATGCCAAAACCACGTGGAGATACACAGTTTAATAGAAATGGGTTAATAATTAAGAGAAAGCTAGCCAGTAAGAAGCCTGAGCCATCGGACAAACAGTTCGAAATGAATATAAGTGTCAGTGTGATTATTTGGGGCTAAACAGCTATGGGACCAGGTGGGACATAAACTCCAACTACAGTGGTCTGTACTGGAGTATAGCTCAGTTGTCGGACCTGGCATGTATGAGGCTATGTGTTTAAACCTTTATGTTGAAAAAAAAATAGATATTAGTGTTGATTGGCAGATTTATGAGTTATTTTAAAACATTTTATTTCAGAAAAATTTTGAGTTTAATGGAAAGTTATGAGTGTTACTGAGTTCTCATATATGCCCACACACAGTTTTCGGTTATTAACATCTTCAGTTACTGTGATCCACTTGTCATAATTGTTGAACTATTAGAATAACATTATTATTAACTTAACGTTTAAGTTTTACATTTCCTTAGTGGTGTGCAAATTTCTGTCTCATTTAGTATAATATTTTGCCTCTCCTGACCATGTTGATCAGGCTCTTCTTGGCTGTAAAATATTTCCAAGACTTCTTTCTAAAATAATCTTGATAATTTTTTATTATTAATAAAAATGTTTTATAGAATTTGCCAAGCTTGTTTTTTTGTATAATGTTTTCCCAATAATTGGACTGAGGTTATGGTTTTGAGGAGGAAGCCCACAAGAGGGAAAGCATCATTTTCTTCATATTTTATCAAAGGACAACGTGACTCTTCACTGTTGATGTAGACTGTATGAACCAGACACGATAGGATTTTCTGACTTCCCTTGGTGTATTTATTCCCCTCTTTACCATTTCTAGGAGTAATATTTAGAAGGAAGTCACTGGGCACAGTTCATATCTCAGATATGGACAATAATGTTATTTCTACTTGAGGGTAGAAGATTGTACTAGTTAAGGTTGTCAAACAGACAAATTCTAGAATAACCTGTAGATTATAGTGATCACATTAATTGGTGTGAGAAGACCCATTGACTATGGGAAGGACTATTCCCCTGCAGAAGATCATGCATGGCATAAAGTAATAGAGAGCTGAGCACTAGAGAGCTTGCTTGCTGTTTCTTGACTATGTATGTAATAAGACTAGCTGCTTCAAGTTCTGCCTGCCTTGACTTGGCTGCCAGAATGGACTCAATCTTGAGCTGTGAGTCAGAATAAACCCATCTTCCCTTGAGTTTCTTTGGTCATGGCATTTTGTCACAGTCCTAGGAAAAGTGGCTAAGACAAGGATCTACATAACTTATTGGGATTGAGAGATTTGTCTATCATATCTTACTTGTAGATTCCTTCAATCACTTGTTACTTTGGATGGATGGTTATTTTATGTTTTTAAGGTATAATGCAAAACAACTATACTTATTTTGTTGCTTAAGAATTTTCTACTTATGTTACTGAATACTCCGTTAGCTGGCATATTTGTTCTTTTGTCACATCCTCATCATGGTGGGGTTTTGGAACATTTACTCAGTACTCCAAGATACTCCAGGGTCTCTAGTAACTGGTTTCTTCCATTAGAGATGGATGTGGAGAAACTAGAACCAAGTTCTAAGTGTGTTTATTGTGAATGGGGTATCATTTAATTGGTGTGTGTGTGTGTGTGTGTGTGTGTGTGTGTGTGTGTGTGTGTGCTTATGCATGTGGAGACTAACGATTAACCTCCATTCATTCCTAAGGAGCTGTTTACCTTGTGTTATGAAAGATTCTCTTGCTGGGATTCTTGGTTGCAGATTAGACCAGGCTGGCTGGCCAGTAAGTCCCAGTGATCCCACCTTAAGATAGTCCTGTGATTACCTTGTTTTATGTAAGTGCTGAGAACTGAATTCAGGTTCTCATACTTGTGCTGCAAGCATTTCAGTACCTGAACTATCTCCTCAGACTTCCATTTTCTCTTATGAATGGTTATCTGGGTATATCAAGAAAGGGAAGAGCCAAATCCCATGTCTGTAGATTTTCCTTTTATACTTTCTTCTAGTACTGAATAGTTTTATACTTAGTGTTTTAATAAAAAAATACAATAAAAGCACAAGAGAGAAAGATGCCATGTGACAGAGTTCAAGCAGACGGGCTTTTTATTAAGGGGAAAGCATGATAAAAGGGGAAGTGTGGGGGAGTGGTCTCCAGGGATAGGAGCAGCAGGAGAGAGGGAAAGAGAGAGATGGGAGGTGGGCAGGGCCCTTTTAAAATGGAACATAATGAATGTGCACAGGTGGTGCTCTTAGTGGCTGCAGTTGAGGGTGTATCCTGTCAGAATGCCAAGGGCAGGTCAGTACAAATACCTAAATACTAAAATTTGAGTTTACGGTTTATTTAGAAGTGTGTGTGTGTGTGTTTCTTTTTGAATATCTGAATTATCTGGTTGTTTCAGCACTGAAAAGTCTGTCTTTTTTTTTTTTTTTTTTTTTTTTTTTTGCACTGAATTGCTCTTGTACTTTTGCTGAAATCATCTGGCCATATTTGTGTGGGTCTATTTCTGCTCTCTCTCTTCAGAACTACCCAGTCTGATTGAATGTAGCTTTCATCTGTAAATCTGTCACACTGTATTGGGATTTATTGTTGTTTTGTTTTAGGACAGGGTCCTGATATGTGGCCCAATTCCATATGCAATTTGCTCCTCTACCTTGGTCTCCCTAGTGCTAGGATCATAGGCATATGCCATCCTGCCAACCTAGACTTGTAGATGGTATTAATGAAGACAATTAAAGTAAGTAGAAGGATGCCATGCTAACAGGCTTACTATTTCCTTTGCTAGGTCCAGGATTCCCATGACCAGCTGATGTCTACTCTCCCTGGTTTTGTAGAAAAGCTCCTTATAATCCCCAGGGGTGGCTGCACACTCTTAATCCAGTGCACACCCACTGACTTCTGGGAGGAGTCCCCATCACAGGCTTTAGAGGGAGCCTCTTTCTGCACAGTCAGAGAAATGAAAGTTTGAGCATTTGACCACACTGGGCAGAGCACGGCAGCTTAGCGAGTAGCAAGACCAGGGAAATGAGACCAGAGTGACAGATGAGAGTGTCTGGTCAACCAAGCTTTCCCTTTCTACTGCTAGATGGACAAAGTGCTCAGGTACTTCTGGGGTCTGAGGAGCTTCTCCTGGGAGGAGAGCCACTATAGTAACCCTTAACCTTGGCCAGCTAGAATACTACAGTATCCCTTTCTGCCTTGGCTAACCTTAACCTTGTCCTTGGCCAGCTAGACTCTCCCCACCAGCAGCTAGTCTTGCTTTCCAGACCAGTGTGAGGCACTTCACTTCCTCCCTGCCAGGCTTAGAGCCTTCATAAACATTTATCTATTGATTCTGCCACTTGCACAGTACAGATTAAGTCTTAATTGTTCTTGAATGCTTTTTTTTTTTACCATATTGAATTCCATGTCATTCACCTATTGCTAGTACTTTGTGCTCAATGCTAATTTTAAAACGAATCTTCTAAATCTGAATAACCTGAATCCTCACAACTAGAACAAAAGATGCCCCTGCAATCGTCATCATTCTTCCCCATCCCCATTCCGCCAGGTCCTTAGGTCTCTTTAGCTCCCAGGAGTCTTGCTTCTGTACCTTGGACAGGGGAGAGATTTCTGGGCACAGAGCCCTTCAGCTACTTTCAGATGGGAGCTCAGACTTCTGCAAATTACAAGCTCCATCAAGTGTTCCCCTTGATAAGAGCTACACTGCTAGTCTTAAGCCCAGACAGAAACAGATAAAAACAAAACAAAAACAACAACAAACCCCCAAAAAATCTCAGAGCAAAGAAAGGAATGCCACCTAATGCTGCTTAGAAGATGCCATTAAAAGTCTCCACGAGTTCTTTAAAAAGAAGAAAAAAGGAAAAAGATGTCTTAAGTTGCTGTAAGGACAGAAGAAGCAAATCTCTTTCTCTGATAGGAGAGATGCAGAAGCCACTAAGAGGCAACTGTCTTTTGAAGCTACTCACCCAGTTTCTGCCCTCCCTTGTTCTGCTCCTGGCCCGAGGGGTCCCCCCATAAAGGCTCTCTGCAGATGTGTTTCTTTGCAGGAGCTGGTCTGAGGTTTCACTTTAGCAACATGTTCTTGTTCTGGGGGCTCCTAGGGTCCCACTGGGACTTTAACTTGTAACTAGGACAGTGCATAGGAATTTAGTAAACAGCGTAACAGTGTTGCTCAATGCATGAATGAGTGAGCAGAAACCCTTGACTCTTCGCAGGAGTACAGAGGACGCCCCTTCTTTGCAGTCTGGCTGAAGGCTCCACTCTCAGCACCTCCGTGCACCCCTTTCCATTCTCATCCCTTTTGGACTTTGTATATGGCAAGACAGCCCAAGTCGTGAATGCATGCATGCTCCAAGTGATTAACACTGTGGAGGGCATGTGAGTGACAACGAATATGCTTAACTCTTATTTATTCTATGCCCCAAGTTAGAGAACTACTGAAAAGCAGAGGAAGTGTGCATTGTCACGGAGCCACATGGTCATATGTATGTCAGTGGTGGAGTTGCTCAGAGTGACAGGGGGCCATCATGTACCAACTCCCCTGGACTCTCCCGTTCTTAAGCACAGAAAAGTTGACCAGATAAAAGGATGATTCAGGAAGAGGTGAAAGGGGATGATTTTATTTCCAACCCCAGTTCCATTAGCAAAACTGTGCTGTAATTCTTGAGTGGAGTTTCATAATAGTTTAAAGACTAACAGAGAAGCTAAAAGAATTCATTAGTAAGGAAGAGAGTTTCAGTTAGATGAAGAAGTAATAGATGTTATTGCCATACTTTAATTAAAAATAAGAAACTTTCTTAAGAAGGGTGAAATACCATGGTTAAGAGGACCTGGAAGCATTGTGATGTAACGTTTTCTTAGGTATGTTCCTAGCTGTTCTATTCATGATAAAGCACTTATGAAGCTGAGAAATTTGTACAAAATGTACTTACCTCCAGCTCTGAAATGGGACCTTTCCGGCCAAGATGGCTGAGAAGGAATGAACTTTTGAAGAAGAAAGAGGAATCAAATGATCTGTGAGCTTTGAAGAAGAGAACATGAATGATTCTTGGACTGGGAAGGCCGGAACATATGCATCACCAGGAGACAGCTACATGTTGTTATAACCTTGAGTAAATGTCACTTGAAATGAGCTGCATACTTCTGGTAACACAGTGTTAGAGAAGCCAAAGGAAAGAATCTGATGAAGGCAATATTCCTGGGTCTAGATAGATGAATGTTCTTGACAATGACTATAGCAGATTGTAGAGTTGTAATCTTTTTTCTTTTTCAATGTCATTTTAGAATTGCATTTAATTTTTCAAGGAAGGAGTTAATAAGTTGGAATTTTCAGGAAATTTTTCTGGAAGAAATTGTTTTAAAGTTGCAAGCAAGGCTCCCAAGACCTCCATCTTGTGAGCATTTTACTCATTAACCTCATTGAGAGTAAGAAAATAACCCTATCATTCATATTTTATAAGACAAACAATGGAGCAAAGGGACTTGTGTACTCAAGGGCACATTATGAGGCTTGGGCCAAGATAAAAAAGAAAACCCCCATTCTTCATGTTTTGCTAGTAATTTTCTGCTTAAAACTGTCATGGAAACCATTATTATAGTTCTATTATTCAAAGCAAAATTGTTCAGTTTTGGGGACTGCAAGATCTTCAGGGAAGGGCTGCTTTTAATATAAGCCTCATCAACTTAAAGTGTGTGTGTGTGTGTGTGTGTGTGTTATGAATGTGTGTGTGTGTGTGTGTGTTGTGAATATGTGTGGTATGTGAATGTGTATGTGGTAAAAATGTGTGTGAGAGAATGTGTGTGTGTGTGTGTGTGTGTGTGTGTGTGTGTGTGTGTGAATGTGTGTGTCTGGTGTGAATGTGTGTATGTGAGATTGAACCCTGGGCTCCACAAATGCTAGGTCTGTACTCTACCAGAAGTCACATGCCCAGGCCCAGCTTGAATTTTAAATGTGGACTGGGTCATGTTTTGCTTGGATCTGGCTTTATAGTTGCCGACAGACATGCTCTATGACCAGGGTTACAGCTGCCTCACTGACTTATAATGATTCCCCTTCACTCTCAAGACGGGATGGAACAAGAGAAGGGCAGGAAGCATACAAGGCCTTTCTGCATGCTGAATTTTCCACTGCCCTATTCAAAGTTAATAGCTCCCTCATGGGAGAGGAAAAGAGAGGAGAAGACAGAGAAAGGCTAGAGTGGGCATTTCATCTTCATAGCATGGGGATTTGGGGTAAGATTCTGTGATATTTGCCCAACATATGCAAGGCTCTGAATTTTATCTCCAGAACCACATTTTAAAATCTCCCGAATTTGATCCCCAGCATCAGATTTTTAAATCTTTTTGCAACATGTGTGAGATGAACTTTGCTGATTGTTTTGGTGAGGCAGAGACCATGATGGGCTTTTCTGATTTTATTTAAGGGTGAGAAGAAGCCACTGAGGTCTAGAAAATGGGTGATTCAACCTAATTCATTTAAAAGCATTTCCTTGGCTGTTTGTGGTGGATACATGGTAGGGATAAAAAGTAGGGTGGACAGCAGTAGAGGGAGAATCTTTGTGGGGGTATGCTGAAGGAAAGAATTGGAAGTGGAAATGTGAAGCCATACATAACCCTTTCAAAGTTAAGTTTTGTTTTTAAAATAGGGCTGGAGATTTGGCTTAATGGTGTGTACTGTTCTCACAGAGTTAGAGGTTAGGGTCCCAGCACCAAAATCAGGCAGTTCACAATCAATTATAATTCCAGCTCCAAGGGGTCTGATTTCTTCTTGTGGCCTTCACAGCCACCTATACATGTGTACATATATCTATACGGTTAAAAATAAAAGCAAATATTTGAAATAAAAATATGGGTGTTAAAATCTTCCACATGGTTTTTCTTACATGTTTATTTATTCCTTGAGAATTTCATGCTGTATATTTTCATCGCGTTCTTTCCCACCCCCCATCCTCCCTGATCCCTGCAAACCCATGTTCTTTCTCTTTCTATAAAAAGAAAACCATGTCTCTGGTTTGTGCTTGGACAAGTCCTGGAAAATACAAATCTGTGTCAGTGTCTGTTCCAACTTATAACCCAATACTCTGTCCCTGGGAACAAAGAAAAAGCCTTTAACAGGCATTTGGGAACAGATCAAAGTAAACAGAAGGCATATGATGAGACCTGTCTTGAGAAGTCCTATTCAGGGCCCCAGATAGATGCCATAATTGTTCAAGGGAAGGATGACAAGTTATGGGCAGTTACTCTCTCATAACGTCATATCTGCCTGCATGGAAAAGAAGATCTTGTGCGTGCTATCATAGTCTCTATGAGTTCATATGTATGTCCTGCTCTGTATGGAGAGATACTGTTTCTTTAAAGTGTTCAACTTAAAGTGTTTTAGAATCTTTCTGTTCCCTCTTCTGCATTGATCCCCAAGCCTTGAGTGGAGGGGTGTGATAAAGACATCTCATTCAGGCCTGAGTACTACAAAGTCTCTCACACTCTGCATGTTGTTCAATTGTGGACCTCTGTGTTAATTGCCATCTACTACAAGAAGCTTGTCTGATGAAGGCTGACAGATTCACTGATTTACGGATGCAGCAATATGCTATTGCAAGTTGTTTTATTGTTATGTTCATTTAACAAAATAATAGTTGTTAAGTTTTCCCTTAGGGCCCATGATCTATTTATTCTCAGGTTCAGGTTCTCAGCCTCATTTACAACATTAGGTATACATTCCATTTTAAGGAGTAGGTTTTTAAAAACCCAGGGCTTTTATTATGAAAGGGTGTTGGATTGCCTAAGGTCTTTTTTGCATCTAGTGAGATGATCATGGTTTTTTTTTTTTTTTCAGTTTGTTTAGATGGTGGATTACATTTATTGATTTTCATATATTGTATCATCCCTGTATCTCAGGAATAAAGACAACTTGATCATAGTGGATGATCTTTCTGATGTGTTCTTGGATTTGGTTTGCATGAAAATTTTTGCATTGATATCAGGGAAGTTGGTCTGTAATTTTCTTTGTTGGATTTTTATGTGATTTTTGTATTAGGGTAACTGTGGCTTCATAAAACAAGCTAGATTACATTTAACAAACATAGAATGAATCAACATAGAAACAAAATGTTTCTATTTTGTGGAATAATTTGAGGAGTAGAGGAGTATTGATGTTAACTCTTCCTTGAAAGTTTGGTAGAATTCTGTGCTGACCTGGTTTTGTTTTGTTTTTGTTTGTTTGTTTGTTTTTTGGTCTTTTTTTTTGGAGACTTTTAGAGACTTTTTTGGAGACTGCTTCTATTTCACTAGGTTAAAGGTCTATGTAAATTGCTTATTTGATCTTGATTTAACTTTAGTAAGTGGTACCTATTGAGAAAATCATCCATTTCTTTTAGATTTTCCAACTTGGTGAAGTACAGGTTTTTAAGGTCCTTTCGGTTCTCCAGATTCCCTTGGTATCTGTTGTGTCCCCTTTTAATTTATGATTTTGTTATTTGGATATTCTCTCTCCACCCTTTAGTTAATTTGGATAATGGTTTGCCTACCTTGTTGATTTTCTCAAAGAACCAACTTTTTGTTTCATTGATTGTATTGTTCTCTTTGTTTCTATTTTATTGACTTCAGACTATTTCTTGCCACCTATTCCTCTTAGGTGTGATTTCTTCTTTTTGTTCTAGAGCTTTCAAGTGTTCTATTAATTGCTAGTATGTTCATGTAGGCACTTAGTGCTATGAACTTGCCTTTTAGAATCACTTTCATTATGCTCCACAAGTGTGGTTATTAATTTTCCTTCAATTTTACAAAGTCTTTAAGTTCTTTCTTTATTTCTGTCTTCACCCATTTTTCATTTAGCAAAAAGTTGTTCAGTTGGTAAGCTTTCTGCTGTTTCTATTGTTGATATCCAACTGTAATCTATGGTGGTCTGATAAGATGCAGGATGCTATTTCAATTTTCTTGTATCTATTGAGACTTGTTTTGTGCCCCAAGTTGTGGTCAGTTTTGGAGAAAGTTCCATGAGGTGCTGAGAAGAAGGGGTATTCTTTTGTGTTTGGGTGAAATGTTTTGTATATATCTCTTAGGCTCATTTGGTTTATAATATCTGTTAGCTACT